AGAGCCAGCAAAACACAACCGCATCGCCTTCAAGGCTTCCCTGTGAAGGCTCCAGACACTGTGGGACGTTTAGGAATTCTAGGAGTTCCAGGCGACGCCCCACTGTAAATTAACGTTTGTGCCCCAAAGCAGCACTTGGCCCGGCCTGTTTTGTCGCCGGGTTCTTGCCAAAGTTTGACTGAAATCGCACGGTATGGCAATTCTCGCTAGGAAAAACTCTTGCTGCTAAAATTCCAGCATCTTCCTTTTTTGCCGGGCTTCTCCTGGCTTCTTGGTAATCTTGGTACGTTACGATTCTTTGGCGGACATCAAGAACATTATGACCAAACTCATGTTGGCCAACCATTGAGGCAACCCTTACTCGCACAAGGCCGAGGCGCACTCGTACAACAAGGGGTGAAAAGCATGGCGAGAGAAGCTGGTAGGTGCGACCACCGAGATCATGGGATCTTTGCCTCGGGCCCCGCGAAGATCAGCGAAGTCGCAGCCAAACAGAGTCGGCCAACTGCCAACCAACTGGGCTCACCGAAAAACCATGGAACAAGACACAAACTCCCTAGCCCAACAGAGAGTAGGATTCCGAAGACAACGAATCTGTGCTTTCATGGGTTGCTCGTCCCTACTCAATGGCTCGGGGCTACTTGTGGACCTTATATCTTACTTAGGGAACTTATAAGTTACTTACATAGAGGTCAAGATAAGTTCACTTGGGCTACTTACGGGGTACCTTATAAGTTCCCCCTAAGTTGCCCCCTGTCACCCGACGTTGCTGGATTTTCCGAAATTGGGAACGCAACAGCGGGCAGGAACCCAACAAGGTGATCCGCAAATAGGGAAACCAATGTCAACATCAAGAAAAGATGCGCGTACAACCGTCTGTGCCCCTATGCTTGGTAACAAAGTTTGTTCATCGTTTATCCCAGGCCCATTGGCTGGATCCTCTAGTTCAACAATGGAGCCCTACTCCGCCCAGAGTGTCCTTGAGGGTATCCGGTTGTTGGGCTCTAGCAAAGGACAACCAAAAGGAAATCGGCCACTTTGGGCTCCACTTTGATAAACTCCCATACTTCTATCTTTGTGTGACTTGTAATGGACATGTGACAGTAAAAGACGCTTCTGGTTCTTGCGCTTCGTGACATTTGGCAGAAATTCCTATCTGTGCTTCTGTTGACCCGTTTGGCTTTCAAAGAGAGCCACAGGGTCACCCCCAGTCTTGGCGAAGCCTTTCACACATACCCAAACGAATTAATCCACAAAAGGGAATTAACCATAAACAAACCCAAACCCAAACGTGTTGCAAACCTTTGTGTAAGAAACGACCAAATTTCAATCCGCGCTTCCGACACTGCGCCGGGCTATTTGGTGTCGTCCCCTTTGACGCAATACCCTGAGAAGCCGCTACTTCTTGTTGGCCCGTCGGATATCAAAGGCAAGCAGCCCGGTTTGCTGACTTGGATAACCCCTAGAAACAAGTCCATCAAATCACTGTGGGCCGTCGGATGGGTCCACTTAAGGCTGATGGGCAGTGGCGGCTTACAGCACACAAAAAATGACCCCAGGCCCCCTGAAATTGCAACCACTTGTTGCGTCGCGCGCGCTGCATCCAAAAGGCTGGGAGACGGCAGCGGCCGTCGTCGTACGCGGTCCCGCCGCGGATCAAATACACCTTCTGTGAGCCTAGGCTTTCCATGACATTGGCTCAAAATCCAGGCGTGCAACAGGTAAGCGCTGTCCAGAGCTGATTAGTTGCCAGAATGCGGAAGGTCTCGCTTGAGACTTGCGATCACGCACCTTTCACTATCAACTTGAGTTGGCCAGGCCAATCCAATCTGCCCATACCGTCAGCCCCCCCCCAAAACCAAACAAACCATGAGGCGCATACTCGCACCCTCGCATGGCACTGAGTTGCTATCTTGCGTTGTTCGGAGGACGCGAGCAGGAGACCATTAAAGGAACAAACCCACCCCCGAATGTACAAAGCCCACACAGGACAATCAAAGGCCAATACCCCAACACTGGTATTGCCCGTTGCTCACTGGAATGTTGCACGTTTCACGAGGACCGCATTGGTTACAGCTCCAAAATAAAATGGAACCCTTTGCAATGCGGGCAGTGTCGCGCTGCTTCCCACTGGGTCCCACTTCCCGACTAACCCCAGGAGCTTATATACTGAGATCAAGGAAACCCTTCTTGGGGTTGATCAATTTTGGGAATCCTCCACCCAACAAACAAACAGAAAAAGGCTGCAACTGAACAAAGGAGACTTGGCTTGTGCTCGAATTTTGGCTGCGGGATGGCCAAGCAGCAGGAACAACGCAGCTTCGGTTCGAGACCAGCTGGGGGCTGCTAGAGGAAAATGAGGAAGCGGCAGCGGTCGAAACCAGTAGCTCAGCAAACGGATCTGAAAGACCTGATGTGCAGCTGCCAAAAGCTGTCGCAAGGCCCGTGTCGGTTTTGAATGATTCTGAGTGCTGGGGACTTGTCAACAGCATACATCTGGCCGTCCACCATTGACTTCACCTTTTGGGGGTGGCTGGCGGGTAAATCATGGGGCTCGCGGCTCACTGGCAGCTATTGGGACCAAGTGCTGCAAAGTGGCCCGCTGCTTGACGTCTGCAAGCCAAGCTTCAAAATTCTGATGCCTGGACGCGTTGGGAGCGTATTTGGAGCCTTGATCACCCCAACGTACGGGGGGGAGGAGGCCAATTTCGTTTCTTTAGTCTTACCCACGCAGCGGCAAACATGAAATTCCGAGTATGGCGCTGTCCGGCCAACCGGACCGACAATCTGGCCACCCCTTCCCGGGTTAGCCGGGTACTCAACCGGCAAACCGCCCAACCAGTTTGCCCGGTTGAGCTCTTGCCTGTCACCACCGATTGCACGTCTGGGAATTCAAAGTGGCTGTCCCCATTTTCTATTCTATGTGGGTGAGGATGAGTGGGACCAGGCCCGTTACGACTATGCCGACACAGCTGGAGACGGACATGTTGAGATTCTGTTTTAGATTCTCGGGGGAGAATTCCAACCAAAGCAGGCAGCCGTTGAGGCCTGGCATGTGGCAATGGTGGAAGGAGGCATTGCCAAAACTGCTGTCGGCTACAGCAATGGGCATGTGTGCGCCTACCCATGCTCAGGTGCATTTTGTTCCGCCGTTTGCCGAAGAAGCACACATGTCAATCCTTCTGAAAAACAAAACACTTGTTCACTGCATAAGTGTTGTTTCAAACTCAGCTGGAAACATTGCTGTTTGGTCGGGGGGTTATCTCCATTTGGTCGGGGAAAGGCGGCGTCTCGCCATCTTGGATGTGTCCCAGAAGGCTACAACAAAAGTGAACAGTTCCTGGATGTGCCTGGAGACGCAAAAAAAGTGTCGTGCGTCTGAAAAAGCAGCTTTCACGAAAAGGCATGCACATGCGCACTTTGGAAGATCCAGGATCACAGTGCCACCGCCCCAAAAAGGGCATGCCCCCACACGCATCCATTGTGAACCAAGCGTCTGGTGATCGGGGCAATTGCACCTCTCACAGCGCATCTGTGCGACTCCATATAAGGGTGTGCGTGCTCGTGGCGTGACTTTCTCCATTTCGTCGGTCTGAGGCCATGCGAGGTTTCCAGGTCCTGCGATATTCGCAAATGGGCGAGGCAACATGCAGGTTTTCTGCCATATCTACCCCATTCAATCGGACCTATAAACTTTCCTCCAGCTACCCCGTTCAATCGAACCTAAACTTTCGTTCAGCAACACCTCCCCACAAGAGCCCGTGGCCAATGAAACATCCTCCAGCAACCGGTTGGCCCAGCAATCTGACAACTACAGAACACCCGAGTTCCAGATCTCTCCTGGAAAGCCAGGGCACGCCTTACCTCAGCCATGGTGACACCAACTGAGCTTGTTTCATCTTGCTTTTTCAGGTTCTCACTCCCTCTCTCTCCCTCTCTCTCACTCTCTCGTTCCCCTTCCGAGCTGATACACGGGACACAGAACTTGAAGGCGGTCAGCTTCCGTGGAGCGGTCACCAATTGTAGATGCTGACCAAACGAGACGCTACAAACGAGGTACGAACACAGGCAATTAATGATACTGAGCTGGCAAGCAACCTGGGGTAGTTAGCTCACCGATTTCTGGGTCTTTACTGTCTTGGAACGACCGTCATTGTGCTTTGCCAGCATCACCAAAATAAATGCGCATCACGAATCGAATCATTTGTTGCTCTCCTAAGGAACCTGGAAAAAAGATCTCTCTCTCTCTCTCACTCTCTCTCTCTCTCTCTCCCTCTCTCTCTCCTGAATAGTTGAATGAAACTGAAACTGGGTTTCTGAAGCGAGTGGATCCGAGCTGCACATTTTGCAGGGGCCCCTTGGCACTGCCAAGGCGTCCGCGTTGAGCCACTCGGTGCCCCAGCTAGCGATGAGCTTCCCCAGGCCAGCCGGCGGCATCGCGCATGCTGCGAGCCGTGGCTCATGGCACAGTCCGTGGAAGTGTCTGATGCGCAAAAAGGTGATGCGGGTATGTAGCGTTTGGGAAGAACTCCAAACAAGTTACGAAAACTATGGGTTTCCTTTTGGTTTTTCTTGCAACCTACAAACTAAAAAGGGCAAGCTCAAAAATGCATGCAAGCTCGCATGCCAGCTTAACCGTGGCAAGTGTTTTGCTTGGCAGCTTTTGGACCCTCATGTTGCCTGCTGATGGAGACCTGTCAACACGCCGTGTTGAGCGATTAATTGCAAAACAGCTACGCCACGCACTTGTTGATCCTGAGCATGTCCTCTTTAACATGTCAGTCCCGGTGCCACAAACATATATGGCCTGAAGTCAGTCAACAGCTGACACCAGTTTCGGACAGCAGTCAAAGCTGTCCATGTTCCTGTCATATATAGGTTCCCTCGAACTTTAAGAAGTCAACAATTATGCCAACCCATTTAACGAGCTAGCAAACGGCAAACAAACATGTTTGCAATTAGGATGTGCTCAAACAGTTTCATCTCAATGAGGCGCTGGCTCGTTGCAGCTAGCGCTGTCAGCCGGCCTGTGGCATCGACGTTTGACCATTCCCCTTCAAGGTCAGGAAAGTTTGCTGAGACCTGTCCAAATCAGTCACCGGGGCCGGCTGCCCCACTGAGCAGCCATGTACTCAACACCATGTTGTCTAGAAATTGTTGATCACAACTTAAGTCAAGCTTCTTGGTGCGCAAACATGACTCTCCCAAACAAAGTCCTCTATAGATGCTTCCATCATTCACTCCCGACCGAGTCTGGTGGTAACACAATGGACAGATTCTTGCGCCTGGGCGACGGATGACATAGGAACCGTTCTCGCTGAAAGGTTTCTTGCCTGTCAGGAAGAAATGAATATCTTCAACGAGCATGCTTGGGACCTGTGCAGCCCATAAAGAAGTAATCAAGAAGGCGACTCGATTTCACAAGGCATGTCATAAGGTCCCAGGAAGTCCAGGGCCTGCGTCGGCTGTCCGAAAGTGTTCACATCACCTCGTCCTGGCCCTTTTATTCTTTCCAAGGTAGCTGACTGGGAATTCGCACCTGTCTTGCCTGTCGGCTCTTCTGACTTGTCGCCGGTCCCCTCTGCCTCTTTGCCTGTCAGGTCAGTGACGTGACAAAGAGAGGGTCTGCCCCAAGAATCCCTTTTCTTGTTGGAAGGGGGATGAAACATCTACTCCCCCGAAATCCCTGTTTTCCCCAGTAGACGAAATCACCAGCTGGCGAAAACACTAGCATGTATAGTCTACAAACCCCGCACGCTTTCTTGACACGCAATGTTCACCAGAACAGCCTGGGGAGGGCGCATACCCAGCTGCAGCTAGCCCACAAAAACAAAATCCTTCACGTCATTCCCGCGTTGCTACCCCAAATATTCGTTGTGTTGTCCTCTTTGTCATGTATTTTAATAAGCTCTGTCTTGGGAATGTTCTGCGTACTGCCAAAGTTTCCCACAGTTACCCAGCTTGGCCTGGAACCACCAAATGCCAGTTTCCAAATCATGTCTTCCAGCTGACATGACGAGCACAGTTTGTTCAATGTTGGACCTATGTGGAGCCGTATTGTTCAATCTCAACCACAGGTTTGGGGCAATCGATTATCGGCTTATTGCCAGATGGGTGACATATGGCGTGAGATCGCGGTATGTGTCGAACGTTTGACTTTTGCGTGTTTGTGGCTGAAGTGATGGCACTATTGTAGGTTGTTTGATTTAAACCGACATCAAGAAAATGATGTGCGTGGCCGTGCCAGATTTGAACTCTGCTTTTCATTCGCTTGGCTCGGCTAGACCTACCTGATGGTGCTTCGCTTGCGGACATGCTTTCTGAGTGTTTGCGTTTCACGGGCGCGGCAGTGCAAATGGCGGGTTTACATGGTTATGTTGCCTTCAAGCCCGTGTCTTGCCGGCATTCAGGTTTCCCATAATAATTCACCCAAAGGCCCCATGTTCCACAAGCAATGCCATCTTCCATGTGTACTGAATTTGTTGGATGTAGAATAGCCTCAAGAGATGCGTATCTCCCACAACTGATGAATTACGGATAACACACCGACAAATAGATTCAGATTCTCGGCAGCGGCGCTGGATTGATCACAACGCCCAAACTCAGCGACAGCTCTTTGCAGCCGCCTGCACCGTTCAAAAAGGCCTCGTCGTCAGAGGGCACGGTACCTGGACAACCCCGTGCGGCTGCCCGTGCAGTCAACATGTGACCTGGAAGCACAAAAGGAATCAGAAAGGCATCCCCTTTTCGAAGAACCCTACTTGGCGTTCAGTCAAACCCGGGTCGGCAACGAGGCAGGCGCCTGGGATTTCTTGCTTTTCCACACTGGCGACTGGAATTTCTTGCTTGTCCACGCTGCCACTTTGCTGCCCTGTGCCTGTGCCGGATGACAAACTGTTCCCTCCGGAATGGCAGCAAGAAGTTCATGAGTACAATGTAAATTGTTGCCACTGATCCAATTATGCTTTGTTTACCTGTCCAGAAACCTGCAGCATTAATGTGCAAAGCAGCTTGCTTGTGACACCCTCGTAGTCCGTTGCAAACATGCTTATTCCGACGCAAAGCGTGTGTTGCAATTCCAGAACAACTGGCTGCCAAGGACTGATCCCCGAAGGGAACCCAACGTTCTTCGACGTTGAGCAACAACTGGGGGCGCGCTGCACTCGAACCGGCAGTTGCCATTACGCAACACAACAGCAACCATGCCAACCCCAGCAACGACAACAACAACAACAACAACAACAACAACAACAACAACAACAACAACAACAACAACAACAACAACAACAACAACAACAACCACAACCACAACCACAACCACAACAACAACATCAACAACATCAACAACATCAACAACCAACAACAACCAGAACAACCAGAACAACCAGAACAACCACAACCACAACCACAACCACAACCGCAACAACCCAACCACAACCACAACCACAACCACAACCACAACCACAACCACAACCACAACCACAACCACAACCACAACCACAACCACAACCACAACCACAACCACAACAACACAACAACAACAACAACAACAACAACAACAACAACAACAACAACAACAACAACAACAACAACAACAACAACAACAACAACAACAACAACAACAACAACAACAACAACAACAACACGACCGCCCATTAAGGCCAAACCTGGCCAAACCACACTGCAATCCTGCGGCTGAAGACGAGATGTTGCGCACAAGCCGCTTGCTTCACACAGTTGCACGAGCATCTCCAGCCTGAAACTGGCTCATCAGCTGCAAGCGTCTTTTTCTCTCCTGCACGGCAAAAGCGTGCAGGAAGTCACAGGCCAAGCTGATTCCGGCTGTCAGGCATCAAAGCGGCGCAGGTCTTTTTTCAGCAATCCCCGCAAGCTGCAGCAGTTCCGGGCAATATTGACAAACGACATTCACAGAGGGCAGGTGCACGTGTCAACCCCCATTCTCCTGTGATCAGCTTGCTGGCCAACGCGCCAATCAATTGTTCCAGCTTGTGCTCCTAGCAAAGACTCACACGTGCAAAGAATCTCCGGGCATGGTCGCCTCACATCGGATTGCAAAAAGGGACAACACGTGCAAAAGAAGAATAAAAAAAGGGGGAAAAAGAACGAGCCCCGCCACACTTGCTTAAACAACTCCTTTTGGTTCGCCTCTAAAGGAGGACACGGTCTGGGGTTTAAACAGTTCACCCAACCCTCGGCTATTGCATTGCGTCCTGCATCTCTAGCTGGCCAAGCTTGGCCTTCATGCGGAGGTTCTCCTATCGCTCAACGGAAATGGGAACCCTCGAACCAACGCCATTTTAACACGGGATGACTTGGCAACAAAGGGCAACACACATCGGGCGAGTTCACCATTTCAACGAGTCACTTGCAAGAAACAAGCACTGAACAAAGACAGAAGGCTTCATCAGACATCATCATGGACGAAGCGCATTGGGTTGGCCCATGGGCGTCAGTTCTTGTCCCCTTGCTCTGTGCAACAGGATGCCCAGCAAGTAACATATTTCACCCCACCAACTGGAAATTCACCTCCAAAGGGCCAAACCACGGAGGTGAACCACAGGAGGTGAATTTCACTCCACCAAGGATCTTTAAACCAAATGGGCCCCACCAGACAGGGAATTCAACCACGGAAGCAAACCATTTGGGCCGGCCTGCGACAGGCCTGCCACGTCCACAGTTCGAGCAGGGCCTCGAAGTCGCAAGCAACCTGGCAAAGGACACGTGTTCCGCGTTTTTCGTCAGGCTGTGTTTTCGTTTAGGGCCTCCCTTTGAATATCATCCCAAAAAGGCTCCTTTCATATTCAAACAGTATGTGTTAAGGAAACACTGAACACAAAAAAATACAAAAAAGATGTGTTTTCGTTGTACTGCTGCAATGCCCAGAAATCAAATGCGCAACTCCCCAGAAATAAAGCTGACATGTTCCTAAAGGAAGATCACTTGCAAGTTGGCTGAGAGCACCCAGGTCTGTGTTTGAGCGGGTACAATTGAGATTCGTTCTAAAATCCATGAACATACACGCATTTGGGGGATGGTCTCAACCCAAAGACTGTGCGGAAAGCGGCCTTTGTCGTTCCTCGTGTTTGATTGTTGGCATCTTCTGGATTAACAGCACCAAGACATCATCACCAGCTTTGGGCAAGTAATTAAACAAATCGGCCACGCACCGGCAACAGCATGGAGACCAGCCAAACAACAAGAAGCTGATTTGTCAGCATGTGTATTTACGTGGCGTATTGTTTTGGAAGAACCGCGCAGCCGCAGCAGCCGTGAATATACGATGGGGCGCCACCAGTGCTGCATGCCGACTCTAAGCTCTGCCTTGCACAAACTCATCCTCTGAAATGTCGCCCGTGCCGTTCACGTCCAGCAAACGGAAGAAATTCCAGGCATCCGACACAGCCTGGGCAGGCATCCCAGCTTTCGGAAGATTAGCTGGCACAATGCTAAAACAACTGGCCAGTGCCAAATGAAAACACAATTCTTGGCATTGCAGCCTCCACCTACTGCAGCACATTCACGCACACTGCGAGTCCTTGGGTTGCCAAAGTCACAAACTGTTGGTATCTGTTGGTTTTTCCCTTTAGCCCGAGGGGGGCAGTGGCCTTTGACAATGGCAAAGCAACAAGCCCAGTCTGTCCCCGCAGACCACGATCCCTCACGCAGCATGTGCAGCTGCCTGAAATCATTTCGGGCGGAGCTTGGCTTGGATTTCGCTCTTGTCTCAGCTTTAGCCTCGCATGTCCATGCCTTTCATGTTCGTAGAGCTGCCTGGGCAAAACTCGAATTCGCTTCCCCTTGTGTTAGCTGCCTGGCGTTTTGAGCGCCGTGCAGGCAACCGGGGCCGTTTCGGCGCGACTTGGGGGCGCCCTCATGAACAAACACTGCCATACAAGGACCCGCTTAAAATAGAAACTGCTGCTTTTGACTGTGGCCATTCACTTACTCCCTGCACTTATATAACATGGAACCCCAAAATAGGAGATTGCTCTACAATAGATAGTTTCCGTGGGATTCATCTGTACCTCAGGAGGGTACATTGGGTCGTTTCAGTTTACATCTGTCAAGAGACGGCAAGGTGACGTCCCGTGGGACGCTGTGCACCGAACCCTCAAGCTTCAATACCAACCACGTAGAAAGGTGTATACGGACGATGCCGTTATAGCCGAACCCGTGTAAACGTTGTAAGGAAGAAGGAATGATAGTTACACCAGTAGTCCTGACAATGCAGCGCAAGCAGTTGTTTTGCTCTTATCGCCCGTCACGAATGTTCGCAGTCACACATCAGATCTTGAACCTCAATTGTGTCTTGAGCCAAATGGCGATCAATGGAACTTGGGAAGCAACACCAACAAGGACCTCAGAACAGCTACCCAATTTCGGCACGGGGCCTAGAGGGTTTTAACATCCCCCATTTGGGTCGCATTGTTCATCATGCGGTCCAAACACCACAAAACGTTCCACTGGCCACGGCTTCAACTACGAAATCGTGTCGTGCATTCTTTTACTTGCTATCACTACACCGTTCATTCGCTGTGAAACATGCCGGGTTCGATTGTACGAAAAGTGAAACATTCATCCTCCAATCGAAGCACACATCCATATGCAGGTGTATATAATACACTGTGGCCACTTCACTTGACCGCCAGTGAACATTCCAGCTGCCGCATTTGCGCATCGCGCAGCTGTCATCCATAAATGGGTTGGCCACAAATGTCCACCATGCGCGCCCGCTTGTGATCGGTCTGCATATCTCCGGCAAAGAAACATCGGTGAGTAATCAATGCAAATCATAGCCATTCCAGATACCATGGATAATGCATAAATAATGAAAAGATATCATCTATAAGGTAATAGTTCCATCCATGAATATCCAGAGCGTCATAGTCGTCGGAATATGTAACCATGTACACATCCAATCATCTTGGACACATGAATATAAATCATGACATAAGTCGTTCCACCATAACAGTGTCGATGTGACGCAAGTAACAGATGGGGACTGGCCCACATCGTACCGCAATCATCATCTTCACGAAGCATACCTGTCCCCAATGGACAGCCTATGGGTACGTCGGCGGAACTCCTCGTCCAAGTTCTTCTGGGCTTCTCGTGCCCGGACACACTTCTTGTTGTAGTCCTCTGGCAACCAGTGCCCTTTCCGAAGGCACCAATCCAGCAGGGGTGTGTCGCATTTGTTCGGGTCGATGGCCGAGATGATGGCGCTCACGTTGACCGCGTAACCATGCTTGCCAAGGTTTAGGCCATCCCTCACGAATGATATATACTTACAGTTGAAAGCTAGTGCAAAACATCTGAAAATAATATCACCCACCGGGTGCACTCGGTCCTTGACCAGGAGCTTCATTTCTTCCTTGGTGACATCGAGGATTCTTGCTGCAATCCACAGCTTGTAGAATGTGTATAGTCCCTCGCATTTGTTCACCATCATACGAATATATTCGTCACGCTCCTCAACCGATCGGAAGGCTCTTGTCCGAACATTCTCCGATTGAGAAATCTTCGTATTGTTGATGGCAAAAGTATACCTTCCTGATCATGCTCAGTGATGTTGGGGTACCTCCTGAAATCATTGTGATAAGGGCAGCCCGGATTCCCTTCGAGTCCGGCATTCATCGTTCTCTCCTCACCACCTTCAAACATCCCCCACATCTTGGACAGCTGGAGTGCGATAAATCCTGCCATGTACTGAGCCTCACGCGGCTCGTCAAGGCAGATCGCCATCCGTTGGGAACTTATAATGTCCCGTGACGTCAGATCGGTGTCGCGGTAATGCCAACCGCCGTCTTCTTCTTCTGACGCATAGCCGGATGTATATCCTTGCGTGTCCATGTCGTCATCTTCTCCCGGAACTTCCTCCGCTTCGTCTTCATCCTCCTGTGCTGCCGCATCGTGGTTAGCTTCTTCCTGTGCACGCCTGGCATCTCCAGAGACGTTGGGGTTTTGGTTGTCCTCCTCGTCATCGGATTTGATGTGAATGTAGTATCTTCCGATGGAGATCAGTTGTGCCTCGCACTCCAGGCATAAGCAGAAGCAGGTGGGGATCGCGGTCGCACATGATGGACATATCCGGCACCTCAGTCCTTCCCATGTCTCATCATTCAGGATGACGACTTTGCTGACTTCGTCCCGGACCTCGTTGACCTGTGCGTTGAACTCTTCCATCTTGTTGTTTCGATAGAGTTCGCAAGCACGATTAACCATGTCAACGATGTAGTGCAGATTATCGGCACCTGTCTCAGTCTCCGGCATCCTCTCGCTGATCTTTGCGACGTTCTGGAGGAACATCGCAGCCGACTCTTGGGAAGAGTTGACAAAGCCAGGGCAGATCTCGTTCTCCACACACTTCGAGTACGCCCTCTTGATGTCAGCGTACTCCAGGCGCTTCCCTCCGTTGCTTTTGCCAATCCAAATGGACTTGACCTCATAGAACGGGATCACGTCAAAGACCATGAAAGTCCCATTAGCCGCGACTCCAGCTCCATACCGCGCGAGGGTTGCACTGGGAATGTAGATGATCGCAATCGGATCCCCTCTCCTCACGTTCCGTAGCGTTGTCTTCGTCGCCACGTTCATCTCATCCCATGGAGCAAACGCCCCGAAGTGCAGTGCTAGCCTGTTGCCGCCATCGATTCCGCCGGGGACTAGCCCACAGCGTACGATGCTTGGCAGGTTTTCCACATACGTCACATGGAATGCTCCTCCGAGAGTATCACCCATTCTTGCGGAATACCTATTCGCCAGTGCGGATGAGCTCATGAATCCAAAATCACTGTGACCGGTTGTGACTCGGATGCACCAAGGTCTGTACCATCCATCGCATCTGTTGAACATCCTGTCGATGTCGTCCCGATCCACGCCAGCCTTGGTCATTTCCTCCCTGGCTGCCCTCGTGTCGTTCGGGTTCATGATGCTCGGAAACCTTGCTGCCAGAACCTGGAATCTCGATTTCTTGCTTCCGGATTCCTGCCACTTGATCACCTCCATGATGCCCATGTATCGTTTCGCTCTCGTGGTGTATGGTGGGAATATGTCGTTGTTCCGGTCGTCAATGACAGCATCAATGTCGACCCATCCACCCTCGTCGCACCTGAAAGCACTTCCTCGGCAATTGCCGATCTTGTGTCGAAGGACTCTGCATAGGTCGTGAGATAGCTGGTTTGCTTGGTCCCTTGTAGTAAATACCGAGCGATCATCACCAATCCTGCATAGTGGAGCACCGTCGAAAGGAGCAATGCAGAAGTTGACACTCTTGCCAAGTTGCATCACGTCCACTTGCTCAAGGATTGCACCTCTGGGAAAGTACCTGGGGTCAACAATAGACGCGTATGCCCGTGGCATATGCACATCAATCATGTCGCCGTACTTCGGGATGTAGCACGGGATGGTGTCGCATCCCATCTCAAGCGTCTTCTTGAATGTCCTGCTGTCCCCGCACGGGTTGTATGTGAGGTCGACGCCACCACATTGTAGCTCTCCTCCCTCAGCCGTGTCAGCCATCTCCACCAAATTAATAGTGTAGCTGTACATCTCAATTGTTTCTTTCCCTGCTTGTCCTCCTTTCTTTCTTTCCTTGGACGTTGATGAGGACGGTTCCTCCGTATCCCCCATGTCTTCATCAGATGAAATAGGGTCACTGCTGAGTAGCTCACGGAGCACCTTCATCGCCTTCTCATTTCCAGCAGCCTCCTCAATGTCCTTGCAGTCGCCGTCGTGGGCCAGGTTCGCGCACTTCTTACAGATCCCCATATCTCCCATGCACTTCTCCATTGACTCCAGGAATCCTAGTGCCGCTCTCCGCCCGTCGATCACACGCTGCTTCTTGTCTTCCTTCTCAGTATTGGTCTGAGAACTTCGACTCGGGTCTGGTGCTTGACCAAGACCCTCATCTTCGCCCTCCGTGGCCTTTCTCTTGGACCCTTGTGCAGAGGGCTCGGTGATCAGGGATCGTGGATGTCTGGGCTTGACCTTGTTCATGATGTCAAGCACCTCCTTCGTGGGCACGCCGAGCTGTGCGGACGGTTGTTCCGCTTTCTGTTCTGGCCCGTCGTGTGGGTCACGTTCCCAGCGAGGTGTCGCACTATTGACTGCTCGAACTCCCTCTTGATCTTCCATGCATCCTTCCACAGTGGCAGTTCGTGCTGGAAGTACGACATCACCTCAAAGAATCCCAACACCATCTCGACGACGTCTCCCAAGGATTCCTCGTTCGTGGTTTGTCCCAGGAGTTCATACATCGTTCCTTGGTCGAGCACACTCTTGATCCAGGACGAATATGCCACATTGCCAAGATCCTTGCCTATCAAGAAGATGGACATCCTCTCCTCGACTCCCTCGGAATTCTTGCACACGATCACATCCCGGGATGCGCACAATTGCTTC